AGGGAGTTACAGACGAGCTGTAGGTGCCCTGGTTGTCAGGGGAGGCAGAGTGAAATTCAGGTGCAGGTGAGAAGCAAGAGCCCAGAGCCTTGGAAGGCTCCTTCCTCGTTGGGAGGACCATGGGCTGCTTTCAGCACAGGGCAGAAGGGTCAGTGCGGGCACAGACGGGGGTGGGGGGGGCACTGGGACAGTGGGACAGCACAAGAGAGACAGAAATAGGAAAGCACAGAGAGCAGTGACCCCACAGCAGGAGGCAGCAGTTCCCAGGAGGGGAGGAAGCCGGGGTAGAACTGAGGACTTGGAAAGCAAGGACAGAGGGTACCTACACTTTAGGGACAAGTGAGGAGAAGTGAAGATCTCTGAGGGCTGCAGTTCAGAGAGCGTGGCAGGCAGTGTCAGACAGGCCATGAGGAAGCGGCGGGAAAAACCAGCTCTGGGCTCAGTGCGGTACTGAGGTGATCACGGCCTTCCCCAGAGGGAGGTGGCAGAGACTCTCCTGTACCGTTTCTCACTGAACCGGTCTTCCACTTCCTTGCTGGCTACAGGAATCAGGAAAGCAAAAATCCCTGCAGATGCCCTGGCTGACCATGAGGGAATTCTTTAGTCTAAAATGCGAGGTACAGATTCCAGAGAACTGTAAAATTGGGAGGGGCCTGAGGTCCCTGAAGGTCAAGAAGGTCCTGTTGATGTCAGGCTGGCTCTACACTTCTATTCTGAGAAAAACCAGGACACGCCCGAACCAAGCACTGGGAGAAAGTTAAGCCTTAGGAGGAGACTTACCCATTTCCTTAGAGTAGAATTTTTGTCTTATATGCTCTTTTATGCTAATCAAAGAGTTATCAACTCATACTTGGGCCACGTGGAAAACCACCTTAGATAAGTATTTTCACCCTTTTAAGATCCTTGCTTTCATTTTTCTACTGCATTGGTACCAAGCAGTGCTATTTCAATTAATATCAGCTAATAAGAGAGGATTATACAGGAATGACATATTTATATCAAATGAAGCCCAGCAAAATCTGGTGGGCTACATGAATGATTATTTTCTAATGGATGCATTAAAGGAACAGAGAGACTGAGCTTATAGTATACGGAACCTAAGACTTGGAATCACGCTGAGAGCACCAACTCAATTTTCTTAAATCAGTGTGGAATTTGGACTTTATGGGCCTAGCAATTTTTTGATATTTAATTTGTAAATCTGTTTTGACTTTATAATGGTTTACTATTTATATGCATAAAGAGCTCACACTTAGTTATATTTAGACAAATGTAAGTACCATTATCTTAAAATGAGATAAGCTAATTTGCTGGAAGGAGAATGAGTTAAATTTTCCCACAGAAGTGGGCCAACATACAGTGGTCCTTACTCAAAATCAGTCCTAGAACATGCATTTTGGCTTCTGACTTAAAGCTTGCTTCTCTGGGTGAATGCATGCTGACTATTAGCTTAAATTACCAGAGCAAAGAGAGCACACATTTATTTCACATGCTGAGAGGCTAGCCTATTCATTTTTAAAGTATTAAACTTCTAAATTAAGATAGACAATTAAAAATTTGATCTAGTATCTATTTGTATGTTGCACTGAACTGCTTTATTTACTGTGTGATATAACTAGATGGCCCCTCTTTGCAGGTCATAAAATAAAACAGCTGAACTTAGATTTTGAGAATGCTTATTACAGAATAAATTTTTCAATGTTCTTCAATTTTTCTTTTACTTCCTCCTAATTTCACTAACAGGTAAAGTCAGAGAACATATTACATTCTTATAACAGTTAAATGGGCAAATAAATCCCAGGTATGCATCACCCGTGGTACCGCACTGTTTTTAGCATGGTTGATGTGAAGTTCAGTGGGATTTCCCTTGCATTAATCAGGCACCAGTTCTGCCTAGGGTAATTAGCCCCAGTGTTCATATCCCAGCCCCTGTGTGAATCTGGCAGCCCTGTCGGCACAGCACACTTGCGCTCTTGAATATCAGGTGAACAACTCACTGATACCCTGAATTATGTTAAATATATTTAGTAGTGTTTCTGACTTAAGCTCAAATTAGAAAATATTGAGGTTACTTCTCTCTTGCTCACAAGAAAATATATATAATTTCCCAAGAACTTCACCAACTACCAGCTAAGTTGTTTTTACACTTCCCATCGCAGAAGAACCACTCCTCAGTAGATGGAATATACATCTCCACTGCATGGATTTGGAGACAGAAACACAGAGGGAACAGGACGTAGTGTACTATGCTTAAGCTGTAAGATGCCACCACTTGTCACTTGTCTTCATTTCCTCCTTGTTAGAGGAGTACAGGTAGAGAATGATCAACTGTAGGATAGGAAAAAACACTAGAAAATATTAGAATAACATATAAATGGTGTGGTGGTACATTTCTGTAATCCCAGCACTCAGGAAAAAGTAAATATATAAATGTTAATGTTAAAGTTTAAAAATGGGTATGGAAATGTTTAAAATAAAAGCTATTGAATGTTCTTCCCTAGCACAAATACAGAATGTGAGCAATGCCAAATAATCACAGCCTTCTAAATGAAGAGGTTCTAGGTTTCTGCTCCCCTGTCTGACTCAGTCATGCTCTGTCAGCACTTGGGGCACTCTGGTGCTTCTCTGCCATATCAGCAGTTTCACAGTAAGAGAGCCATCACACAACGAAGTCCAGAATGCACAGAATACTCAAAGCAACTCATCTCTGCCAGCTTCAACCTTTCTTCTTGAAGCACACTGCAGTAACTATTCTTTCTGGATTCCAGTGTTTCATACTGAGCAAATTAAAGCAGTTTCCCATCAACTCCTCCATCCCTGCTCTTGAATAAAGGCAGCTTATGCTCAACCACAGCCAATGACACACTCTTAGAATCAGTCCTAGAAGATGCCAGCTTCTGAGCAAGGGCTAGTAAGGTTTCCCAAGTCCTCTTCTCCCTCCAGAATGTCTTTCCCACCCACTACCTGAGTGTCAGACACAGCATGAGCAGTTCATACCTTTGCAGTGAAGCTCTTCCCCGAACAGCCCTGCTACATTGTGGATTGTGAGGACAGAGTATCGCCCTGAAGGATGCAGCAGAATAATCAAAGCAAAGTCAGCCTTTTGCTCCAGAACATGCGGTTTGGTAGGTGAAGTCACAAACAAATGTATCTTGGAAAATCATCCTAGGCCACTCTAGCGTTTGTTACAGCTTCAGATTCAATGCAGCAACCTTGGTACCCAACTAAGCATTCAAACACAATGAAATGCTTTGGTCGGTTTTGTGTCCTGAAAGAATAGGACCAGAAACGGGTAAACTTGAAGCCGTTAGGATGGAAAGAAAAGCCGAAGCCAGAAACCTGCCTCAGGGAGGCTCTGGGAGTCCAGAGTTCCTCACAAAGAACTGGACACCAGGAGGAGTAAGGCCAACTCCACACAGAAGATGTCTCTAAATGACTTTCTCATTTATCCTAAGGTAAACTCGAGCATTGAGAATTTCCAGCCTGTAAGGTTTTTTTCTGACTGTGTAAAACAGTGGTTCCTCAAAAAGTTAAGCAAGAATTGTCAGATAACCCCCAATTCCACTCCCAGATGCATAGAACTGAGAACTGCATTCAAACAATGCTCACAGCAACACTACACACAGTGATCAAAGGATAAGAATAACAAAATTCCTGACCCTGGGGAGTGGAAAGAACCCTGATGGCATATCTGCACAATGGAGAAGTACTCAGCCCTTAAAATGTGTGAAGTTCTGATGATCACACTGTGTGCATGGACCCAAAAACATCATGGTAAGGGAAAGATGCCACAGGACACAAAAGGTCATGTACTGTGTGATTCCATCTATGTGAGCTGCCCATTATAATCTGATTCCCTGGGACCCAAAGCACCCTGGCTGACAGGGAGGAGAAGGCCAGGAGCACTTGGGAATGAGGTGCTAAAGAGAAGGAAACTCCTCCAGAAAAATGCGCAAGTCCTGAAATGAGACGGCTGTGATAGAGGCACAGCACCGCAACTGTGCTTGACTGAGTTCTGCACAGTAAGACTGGTGAAACAGCAGATTTTGTGCTTGCAGCTGCAACGCAGCACTTATGATCCTATGCCTCCTGTCCAGGAACCCTGGAGAAGTGTGTTCCCCTGGAGGTTTGCCGGTGTTTCTGGAGCCCACCCTGCCCGTCTGCACTGAATTCACAGATACTGCTGAGCTGTGTGGCCAGGAAAGATGCCAGGTGCAACATCTCAAGTTACCCTGTGTCCTGACAAGAAGACTGGTGAGAGGAAAGTGGCACGAAGGTCTGAGCAGAGTGGGTCCCTAAATGTCACCAGGCGATTAGCTTCCTCCAGGGCCTGGCAGGCAGAGGCTGCAGCATGTCCCTTCCGAGTTAAAGCTGAGCCAGCAAAGAGGCGGACTGCAAAGCAGACCAAATGCCAAAGGACATTCTCCTCCGAGCAGGCACCACGGACTCGCTGGGTCAGCCAGGAAACAAAAGTGCCCATCTCCCCAGCACACCCGCCCAGCTCTGCCTCACTTGCTCATCACTGACAATGCAGAAATATGAAAACATGCGGCTATTTTCTGGGGAATTCAGAGAATTTCCTAACTGCCTAATTATGGGTCCAAAGCATTCAGCTAAAAAGCTTGAACAATGAAAAGAAGATGCTGTTCTGAGGGGACACTGTCTCCTGACAGACAGTGCCTCATTCTGTTCCCTGCAGTCCACAGCAGCGAGCTTTGATTAGTGCTCATCACAGCGATGCTTTCTGCCCCTAGCTTAGACACTCAGACATGCAGAAGCACTGAGCGCACACGTGGTAGATGCAGCAAAATTCACGTCTGTAAACATATTTAGCACAGTGATAAATAAAAGGCCACTCATCTTCATGTTTGTGATTGTTTTACAATGCAAGATTATTGGGCATAAGTGGTGAGTTTTCCCTTCTTTTTCTTTTGGGCATCTGTATTTAGGCAGTTATGCATTGTGATGCTTTTTGTTTGTGAACATTATACAGTGTTGGGAGCTCGACCGAATGATATGAGGCCTGTGGTGAGGAGTGAAGCCTGAGCTAGATTGCCCCTCCCGTCGACCGAGTGATATGAGGCCTGTGGTGAGGAGTGAAGCCTGAGCTAGATTACCCCTCCCATCGAGTATGCCAAGATGGCGCCCATTTCCTGCTCCCTAGCTAGTAAACAACACGCCCTGTAAGCTAGTCTGCCCAGCAACAGCTGACGCTGGCCAATCAGCTCGTCTTGCCTACTTTGATGTGATTGGTCGATGTGTCCATATATATGCTGACACCACCCCTGGGGAGAGAACACACACCAAGAGAGGGACTGCTGAGAGAAGCACACAAGGAGCCGTAGGGAACGGACCAGAGGAGGCTTCCCTCAGGCGGGATCCGAGATCCCGGAACAGGGCGTACGGAGAGAGAAAATAAATCAGAGGCTATCCGCCGACTACTCGTGTCGTGTGTTTTTTCCTGCCGGCCGGGATCGACACCGACATTTGGTGGCCCGTACGGGGAACTGATCACCCCCGAGGCGAGGCGGACGACGCTCCAGTATTGCTCTGCAGGACAGGTGAGTAGGGGATAAACCTGGGCTCTGGGTGGCGCGCACCTACAGGGCTTTTTAGACTCCCCTCAAGCTCACGTGTATGTGGCAGGTTAGCCTCACACGGTGAGAACGGACTCCTCAGTGACAGGCATGGGCAACTTACCCACTAAGAGTTCCAAGTCACTGGTAAGAGCGGTGAAAGACCTGCTCAAGATTTCAGGTATATCAATGAGCTCCAAGACACTTACGGAGTTTCTCCAACAAGTAGATGAGGCGGCACCCTGGTTCCTGCCGACGGGGCACTTGTCCCTACCTTGCTGGGAGAAATTAGGTAAGGATTTAGAAAGAGCAGAAGAGGAGCGCCGACTCCCACTTTCGGTTCGGCCGCTCTGGGAGATGATTCATTCATGCCTCAAAGGGGAGAGGAATGGGGCTAAGAATAACACAGATGGGCTCTCTCAGGCCCGCCGAGCTTTTGAAGGGGCCCGTTCGGAGTCCTCCCGAGAGGGGTCCGTCGCAGGGAGCGTGCGGAGGCGCTCGCGAGAGCGAGGCAAGAGAGAGGTACCCCCTGCCTCGGATTCCTCGGGCTCAGATACCTCGGAAGGCGAGGACAATGAGGCAAGTGACCCCCCTAATCCCTTTGCAGCTTTACGTAGAGACCTAGTCAAGATGCAGACAGACCTAGAGAAGGGAAGGAAACTCCTGAGCACTCCCCAACGGAAAGCCGTAGAGCCTTCCGCGCCACCCTGGGAGGTCCCAAACACCGGTTCCTGTGGTGAGATGGCGGCCTGGGGCCATCCTCCGTCACCCCCCCCATGGAGGGAGTGGCCTGGACCGTTGTCACATGTAGGGCCACCATCTTGTCTGCCTGGCGACCCGCCATCTTGTGCCCCAAAGACTGGTCGGCCATGTTACAAAGAGATACAATTTTGTGATAGGGAGGGACAGACATCTCATGGGGAGGCACCACCCTGTGAAAAAATGCCAAGGTCCCAGGGAAGGTATTTTCGTAGATGGACATTTAGAATGGAACAGATTCCTCAAGGGGCGAATGAGTATGAACAATGTGGGCTTTATCCGGTGCTCCTAGCGCAAGGCCAAGGACCCAATTACTGGGAACCACTGGAGATCAAGCAAATTAAGGAGCTTAAAAATGCGGTTGCCACATTTGGCCCTACTGCTCCTTACACTATAACTATGTTGGAGAATTTGTCTGCCGGTGGCTTTCTGACGCCCAGTGATTGGACCCAACTGGCTAAAGCCTGCCTGGCCCCCGGGGCTTTTCTGGATTGGCGCGCCTGGTATACTGAGTTTGCCGCCGAACAGGCTGAAAAAAATGCGGCTAGGGGCCATAGGGGGCAAAATGAGGATATGCTTATGGGTAAGGGTCAGTACGCTCAAGATCAAACTAGATTCCCTCCAAATGTGTATGAACAGATACATAACATAGGCATCCGCGCCTGGAAGCAGGTAAACAACACAGGGGTGGCCTCACAATGCCTCTCTAAAATTGTTCAGGGCAACACAGAACCTTTTGTGGATTTTGTGGCCAGAATGCAGGAGGCAGCTGACAGACTCTTTTCAGATCCGAGTGCTGCTGCTCCTCTTATTAAACAGTTAATCTTCGAACAATGCACCAAGGACTGCAGGGCAGCCATAGCACCCCATAAAGGTAAAAACATAGAGGCGTGGATTAAAATTTGTAGAGAAATAGGGGGGCCATTATCCAACTCAGGCGTGGCTGCCCTTTTAGCCGCCGCCTTACAACAGACAGGGCCTCAGAAGACCAATCACCCTGGTAAGCCCAGGGGATGTTTCCAGTGTGGGGATCCCAGCCATATAAGGAAAAACTGCCCCAAGACCGGACAGGGGGAGTTTATATCCAAGAGACAGGAATCAGACAGACGAACGGGAACCTGCGAAAGGTGCGGTAAAGGTTCTCACAAAGCAAAAGATTGCAGATCTATTTTTGATGCCCAGGGGAACCGTATTAGTGGCAGGGAGACTACGGAACCAAAAAACGGCCAGAGGGGGCCCTCCTTACGGACGGGCCCCCACTCCCTAGACAGGACAACACAAGATGGCACCCCCCCACAGGGGCCACCCCCGGGCCAGCAGGCGTGGACCTCTGTGTCGCCTCCAGACTCCTATTAACACCCGATATGGGCGTTCAGGTGGTTGAAACCACCTCCAAAGGACCACTACCCGACAAGCTAGTTGGTTTAGTGATTGGACAGTCCTCCACAGCCCTCCGGGGCCTTACCGTGATCCCTGGAGTTGTAGACCCAGATTATTTAGGAAACATCAAAATCATGGTACAATCTCATATAGGGACCATAGTAATTGATGAAGGGGATAAGATAGCACAACTTTTACTGTTCCCCAGTCTCCATGAGAGACCCCGGTCCGGTCAACGGGTTAGAGGGGGTCAGGGACTTGGCTCCTCTAAGGAAATTTTTGAAGGGCTTCATATGACTCTTGATAAAAGGCCCATGCTATCGCTCAGGATTAACGGAAAAAAGATAACAGGACTCCTAGATACAGGGGCAGACCGTTCCATCGTCTCCAAGAAAGACTGGCCCCCTAGTTGGCCTACCAACACAGCTGACAACACACTCCAAGGATTGGGGATAGTGGCTGCCCCCCAGGTTAGTGCCGTGACCCTGCCTTGGGGTGATGAGGAAGGTCACCGAGGACATTTTCAACCTTTTGTCTTGCAGCTGCCAGTATCCTTGTGGGGAAGAGACGTTCTCACCCAGATGGATGTCACTCTTACATCCACCTGCTCTCCCCAAGCCAAAGGGATACTCAAAAATCAGGGATATGTCCCCGGCAAGGGCCTGGGCGCAGCCCTGCAGGGCCGGACATCCCCCGTACCTGTAGAAAAAAGGGAAGGTAGACACGGGTTGGGTTTTTCCTAGGGGTCACTGAGAAACTTCTCCTGCCCGCTCCAATTAAGATCACCTGGAAATCTCAAAATCCAGTTTGGGTGCCTCAGTGGCCCTTACCCAAGGAGAAGCTTTTAGCATTAACTGAGATAGTCAAAACCCAGTTTCAGGCGGGACACGTAAAGCCGTCAACCTCCCCTTGGAATACCCCTGTCTTTGTTATCAGGAAGAAATCAGGCAAGTGGAGGCTGCTCCATGATCTGAGGGCTGTCAACTCACAGATGCAGCCCCTGGGGGCGATCCAGAGGGGACTACCAGCCCTCTCAGCCATCCCTCGGTCCTGGCCAGTCTATGCCATAGATCTTAGAGACTGTTTTTTCTCAATCCCCCTGCATCCAGAGGACACCCACAGATTCGCCTTTACCCTACCCACCATTAACCAAGAGAGTCCTGATCAGAGATACGAGTGGGTTACATTACCCCAGGGTATGGCCAACAGTCCCACCATGTGTCAGATGTATCTTGATTTTCTACTGGCCCCCTTGCGTGAAGCCTTCCCCAGAATTAGATGTATTCATTACATGGATGATTTGCTAATCAGTGCAAAAGATGTGACTGAGTTGGAGGATATGCTTGGCCAATTGGTCAGGGCCCTGAAAAAGGCAAATTTACATATTGCCCCTGACAAGATTCAGGGAGGAGACATAGTGACCTACCTGGGCACCAAAGTCTCCCCCACATCGATTTCTCCACAAAAGGTAACCATCAGAACAGATAGCCTAAGGACCTTGAATGACATGCAAAAGCTACTGGGAGATATAAACTGGATCAGACCTTATTTACACATCCCTAACTCGGACTTAAAGCCCCTGTTCGACCTCCTGAAAGGAGACCCGGATATTGCCTCCCCCAGGGAGTTCACCCCGGAAGCCAGAGTTGCTCTGAGAAAGATAGAGGAAGCCCTAAGTACAGCTGCATTGCGGAGAATTGACTCAGAACAGCCTTTTGAGGTCTGCTTGTTGCAGACCGTTTCTCAACCTACGGCAGTGATTTGGCAAAAGGGACCACTTTTGTGGGTGCACCCTAAGGTCTCACCTGCCAAGATTATCGAACATTATCCGGAAACGGTCGCTTCCCTGGCCTTGGAGGCACATGACAGGGCTATCCAACATTTTGGCTCTGCACCCCATGCTATTCGGGTACCTTATACCGCTTCTCAAATAAAAATCCTGACTGCTTGTATAGATACGTGGGCCATCCTGAGATGTGTTTTTCTTGGGGAGATAGACAACCAGTTCCCCAGGGACCCCATACTACAGTTTGTTACTCAACATCCGGTGATATTTCCAAAAATCACCGCGTCCACACCACTTACTCCTGCAACAACGATCTATACGGACGGGTCAAAAACCGGGATAGGGGCTTATGTGGTCTCAGGTATGCCTCCGATCAGCATACAATTTGAACCAGATCAACCACAGGTGGTAGAGTTACAAATTGTACAAACCGTCCTCGAGAAGTTCCCAGGGGCCCTTAATATTGTTTCTGATTCAAAATACGTTGTTAATGCCATGCAGGTCCTTGAGACTGCGGGCCCGATTAAGCCAACCTCCAAAGTGACTAATTTGTTTTTGTCTATCCAGACTCTGCTGATAAATAGACACAACAAAATATACATCACTCACATAAGAGCACATACGCGCCTGCCAGGGCCCATGGTACAGGGCAATGCGGCAGCTGACGTGGCCACTCGCCCGTTGTGGATACTCAATATGTTATCTTCAATAGAACAAGCCCGTCTGTTTCATGACAGATTTCATGTCAACGCCAGGACGTTAGCCAACCAGTACCACATTTCCAGGGCTGACGCGCGGGACATCGTACGGTTATGCGGCTCTTGCGCCACATACACACCCGTCGTATCAACGGGAGTTAACCCCAGGGGATTGATTCCTGGCGACACTTGGCAAATGGATGTCACACATATGATAGAATTCGGATCTCTTAAATATGTTCATGTCTCTACGGACACCTGCTCTCATATTATATTTGCGACTGCTGAAACTGGCGAAAAGGTGTCTCATGTAATCAATCATTGCCTGACAGCTTGGGCCGCATGGGACAAACCAAAAATATTAAAAACTGATAATGGACCAGCTTATACAAGCAGAGCCTTTAATGAGTTCTGTGAAAAAATGGGGGTACAGTTAAAACATGGCATCCCATACAATCCCCAAGGTCAAGGAATTATTGAAAGGGCTCATAGGAGCCTTAAAGATATTCTACAAAAACAAAAAGGGGGAATAAGTCAGGGCCTGCCCCCAAAGGCACGGCTCTCCATGGCACTGTTCACATACAATTTTCTGAACCTGAATAACAACAATCACTCCCCGGCCATGGAACATTGTAATCCATCTCCTGGCAATAGGGGATGGGTGAAATGGAAAGATGTCCTGACGGGACAATGGATGGGCCCGGATCCAGTAGTTAGCTGGAACCGAGGTGCGGTTTGTGTTTTCCCGCAGGAACCAGGACGAGAACCATTGTGGGTCCCAGAACGGCTGACGCGTGTGGCGAATCCAACGAAACATAATGCAGGAGACACTCCAAAACTCAACGGCAGCGGACAGCCTAATCAAGATCGGTCCGACCAGGATATTGCTGCTCGACCGAGGAATACCGTATGACTTATGGGACACAGTAATGATTATGCTCTCGATAGTAATTGGCTCTCTTTTAGGGTACGGTGCAGCCAGAGTGGCTAGGCCACGCCGCCTTCCGGCAGCCCCCTTCCTTCTGGTTTTGATGCTCACCACCACTACTGAAATAGGAGCAGACTTGGTGTGGGCAGCAATACATCATCCGCCAGCGCTAGCCGCTATCTCCACCACAGCCCCCTCTCTCCCAAAGTTGTATGCAAAAAACTGCTCCGCCAGATTGCCTTGCATACCAGATATACCGTTAACCATCAGACCCATACGTTTTGACCTTCCCATCACCAATGACGTGGTCATTTTTTCCACTAATAGTAACCCCTCGTGTCACCGGGGATCCTGCGTTAGCTTCCTGCCCCTCCTTGTAAAATGGTACAATACCTCCCTGACGGTGAGGTTGTCTGTCCCATCCCTGCATTCGCCTGGATGTTTTAAAGCTGGCACACTTAGCGGCGGAGTCATCACTTTTAACTCAACCTGCAAACCCCGAGCAGCCATGCACACCCGTCCCGATTTCCCCACATGCCCATACCGTGTGTCCCCAAGCCGAAAAAGACAGATGGTGGACCTGTCACAACTTTCATGGCAGCCCTGTACTGTCGACGGCGTGGGAGTGACTCATCTAAACATGTCTTGGTGGTCCCGGTTCTCTCCTCCATCCGGTAGTAACAACATATTCGCGTTGACCTGGTGGGAGTCCTACCTGAGAGTGAACAACAAGTGGGCAATAAGCTTCCCCTTCCCCCTTAATGAAAATTGGTTGTGCCTCTCCACCGGAGCCTGCATGGACTTAAGACCCATGCTCGCTATTAACGCTTCTGCCTCTAATGGAACCACCAATGTCACCCTTAATTCTGAGGCTGCATGCGTAAAACCGCCCTACTTATGGGTATTCCCTGCTGACATCTCCTTTAAGTGCAGTAACCAACCATGCTTTACAGGGAACTGCTGGAATGGGTCTTTCCCGTATGCTATGTTGGCTCTTCGACCCCCACTGATGTGGGTTCCCTTTAACGAATCTGTTTGGGTTCATCCCGTCTATCAGCAGGACCAACTACCCATGCTCAGACGTAAGAGAGATTTTGGGATCACAGCGGCCCTGACAGCACTGTTCGTGACTCTGACTGCGACGGCTGTGACGGCTGCCGTTGCTCTGACCCAGTCTACGCTGACGGCTCAGGCCTTTACCAATCTTACGGACACCACCTCCCTGGCGCTGAGGGAGCAACAAGAAGTCAACCTCCTCCAGCACAACGCCATAATGGCGTTACAGCAGCAGATCGACCTAATCGCTCAGGAAGTCCAGGGACTCTGGGAGGTGGCTAACAATTTATGTGACGCCAGATGGGCATTCACCCAGTTGTGCGTTACCCCCATCCAGGTCAACCGTTCGGCTTACAGGCAATTTCAGGATTATGTTCTCACCACCTATAATTCTTCCTTTTGGAACGCTAGCGTGCGCCTGGATATGACTATCCGGCAGCTAGATCAGATAGAGGTGCCTATACTTACAGCCTCCTTTTTTGATGATGTCCTAAGCCAGATAGGCTCCTTCTTCAAACCTTCGTCGCTTCTTGCGTATGGGATCATTCTTGCTCTTGTGATTGTCACTCTCGTGACTCTTAGGTGCCTGCGGTCGATAAGGGCGACCCAAAAGACACATATGACATTGATGATGTTGCTGGCCCAGAGTCAAGGGGATTCCACACCTAGCGTTTTCTGGGCTCAGGCTAGAAAGGCACGGCTCCTTTAACCAGTACGTGGCTGCCCTCGCCATTATTCTTACGGATGTTCTAGTATTATTACGTACGTCTCCTTCCCCGTCGCGGCTGCGAACTTAGACTAGAAGGACCCCACGCTTAAGGCGTGTTCCCATTGATAATTAGAAAATAGTAATTAGTGATTGTAGTGAACGGGGATTATGGTTGGTAATTAGTGATTACGCGGTTCCTCAAATGTCACTCGGCTGACCCCTCCGTGTCTCCCCCAAGATATAAGCTTTAAGAGTTGAGTGGGCAAGCCAACGACGGGTAAGACGGGAGAAGTTCTCCTGATCAACCTAAGACAGGCTCTACTCCGAGGGTCCTCTAGGGAGTGAGAGTTATGGCATTGAGATGCGAGACCAAGGGTACTGCAGTGCCATCCGCCTCGAGGGTTGAGGGGAAGGCAGGAATGAATGTCTATATGCATCCAGGTTCGGTTCACAAAAGCCTGGCCCTGCGAAAAAATGAACCACTCACCTTGAGCATGGTCCTGGCGCAAGGATATGTACGAGACAAGGTGATGCACAGCAGGGTATAGACCTCTACATTCTCTCATGCCTCGGCCTGCGAAATAGGCCCACTCCCAGACACCTCACATGGACCCACAGACCACACTATCTTAATAAATAAAGAAGGGGGAGATGTTGGGAGCTCGACCGAATGATATGAGGCCTGTGGTGAGGAGTGAAGCCTGAGCTAGATTGCCCCTCCCGTCGACCGAGTGATATGAGGCCTGTGGTGAGGAGTGAAGCCTGAGCTAGATTACCCCTCCCATCGAGTATGCCAAGATGGCGCCCATTTCCTGCTCCCTAGCTAGTAAACAACACGCCCTGTAAGCTAGTCTGCCCAGCAACAGCTGACGCTGGCCAATCAGCTCGTCTTGCCTACTTTGATGTGATTGGTCGATGTGTCCATATATATGCTGACACCACCCCTGGGGAGAGAACACACACCAAGAGAGGGACTGCTGAGAGAAGCACACAAGGAGCCGTAGGGAACGGACCAGAGGAGGCTTCCCTCAGGCGGGATCCGAGATCCCGGAACAGGGCGTACGGAGAGAGAAAATAAATCAGAGGCTATCCGCCGACTACTCGTGTCGTGTGTTTTTTCCTGCCGGCCGGGATCGACACCGACAATACAGATTAAGATTTTGGAAAATTCATTCATAGGTCAATATTTTCATCACTCCCCCTTATTTTCCTACTCCAAGTTTGCTAGTATTTTTATGTTGTAAAAGAAAAAGTACAATAGTATTTTTGACCCAGTATTACATAAAGGATCATGTTTATAGAAACTCAGATCAATTATGGTTTCTATTCTATTTCCTCATAATCTTGGGGGATTTTTCCATGCAGTTGGGGCTTAACTTTCCACAGCTTTTCCCACTTTTTATCTCTGATAGCTACCAAGCTTTCTGGAGCTTGCTGGGGCTAATAGAGTAATATGCAAATCCAAAAAATAATTTTTAAGGGGAGAGAGCAGGGCTGGCTCTTCAGTATTTTAAAACTTTGGATGAACACACACATAAGTGTATATCTAACCCCACGAAGAACTGATTATAACACTCTAGTCAGCCGTTGTTTATAAACAGAAGACCCAGGATCTCAGGTGCTAATGTGGTAGGAAGCAGCCAGTCCTACTCAGGGAGCCACCTCTGGAGAGCCTGCGCTCTCTTCCTCTCCCTGCATCCTGGCTGCCCTGGGAGCAGCTTTCCTCTGCTCCCTGATTCTGCACAGCATTTCTGCCTCGGAGCCAGCCAACCAGTCTGCTTCCCCTTGCTGTGTTACCTAAGCTTCACTCCAGAGTCAGCGGGCTCCGCTCCTCAGGGCCTGTTGTGGGGCAGAACATCAGGGCCAGGACCACAGGATTGGCCAGTCCTCACCTCACGGCAGTCAGGAGGTGCAGAGAGGAAGGACAGGAGCTGATGCCCTGCATAAGCACGTCCAGTGAGCGCCCCTCCTACCTCCCAGGGCGGCCACAGGCTGGGGACCAGGACATCAGCGCACAGGCCTTGGGGGGTGCTTGAGACCCAAACCCTGACGGGCAAGCAGAGAACAGATGAGGACAGCGTCACAGCCCAGACTTCAGCAAAGGGGTTCTGCATATGGCTTGGTCTGGGCATTCTGTGGGAAATAAGGCAGAGACAGAGAGACAGACGGACAGACAAGTGATAAATAGATAAATAGGCTGACTCCAAGCAGAGTTGAGTAACAGGACAAGTTATGACTCAGAATCACATCCTAGTCAACTGAGTTTTTAAGGACATCTTTGGGGCTTCACTTGACGCCTGCTTTAAGGGACCTATATGTGCAACAACTGTAATGGAATTAAAAAGAGCTCACCTTTCCCAGATCCCTGGTTCTAAGAAACTTTGTCAGACCCGTAGGTTTGAGCTGTTTCTGGTTGGGATTCAGAGCTGTCAACTAACAATAATTTTCTCATAGTTGACTGAATTCTGATTTTTTTTTTACTGCCCAGATTTCTCTGATGAGGCCAGCATTTTATTTCTAAATATCGGCTATAATAAAATGACTTTGTCTCTGGTAATTAAGAAAAAAAGATTTTTTTATTAGGTAATACCATTTGACAGAATGTCAACAACAAAGAAACACTGCTCATCCATTTGAAAAGAAGTCACTACGCATTTGTCTTGCCTTTGCAGTATCAATTGGACTTGAGAAGATCCAGGTAGCTAGTAAAGGAAAGTATTCCTACATAGAAATATTCAAGTTTCTAAAGCAGGAAGAAATTATTGAGCTACATTATCATCCTTTTGTAAATCCTAATAAAACATGGAAGCAGGAAGTGATCATTACAGACTCCTAATGTCTGCAGAAGAGGGAGAAGCAGACACATACTTCCTGCTGGGAGCAGGCCCCATGTCTCCAAGGGTAGCCTGTGGGACTAACTAAGTTTCCAACAGGTATATCCAAAATCAAGAACATGAAAAACTGCAGAACGAATTACCAAGCTTCTTCAACAAATAAAATATGAAGGAAGAGAATAAGAAAGGAGGAATGCAGTGTATAAAATATAAAGAATAAAGAGAAACATCAACCAAATGCAATGCACAAACCTTATTGGAATCTTGATTGAAAAATTGTTTGAAAAAGATTTTTAGACAACTTGGGAAATTTGACTACTAAGTAGCTATTTGATGATACTAAGGAATTACTACTCATCTTTTAAAGATGACTATGTAGTTTAAGAAACACCTTGGCACCACAGCCATCTTCAGTGGCATGGAGGTCCCAAGCTCTTTCAGCAATAAGAACAGTCGAGTACATGCCAGAAAGTCAGTGTAACGAGTTTGTCCTGGAGATTAATTGGCACACATCTTTCCTGATGTAGAGACACACACTAAAATATTATGAATAAAATAATTCAGTATCATGGGTTTTTGTTAAAGTGTTCCATCCATACAGATAGCAGAAAGGAGTTAGATGAAACAGGATTTCCCCTGTGTTGAAATTACTTTAACAGGTGACAGGAATATGGGTGTCCTTTGTACCACTGTTTCTCCTTTTACATAAAAATAATAAATAGCTTAAAATTACAGAAAATCTGCAAACATCCCCAAATTATTCACCTTGGATTTAAAAGTGTCTTTGTTCTCTGAGTGACTATTAGAGCTAGGAACAAAGTGGCTGACGATTTTGTACACAATGGAGAAATAATAAAATGAAAAACAACAAAGCCGGCCAGGAGGACTAGTGCTCTTTCCCCTGCTAGAGCAAAATACCTGATGCACGTAATTTTCAGGGAGGTTATGTTGCTGTAGCTTGAGTTTCCAGAGATTTTGGCCTATGGTAGCCAGCTCTAGGCAGGGGCATTATCTCCAGCTTTATGGCAAGGGAGAATTAGAACAAGGGTGAGATGGGTAAGGATGAGATCTACCTCCCAGGCCCCTCCAATGATGCATGCCCTCCCCTTCCGACCTGCACACCCACTGTGAGCTCTAGAGTTATGCCACCAGCGGGAACAGCACTCCCGTGATGCAAGTGCCTCTCCAGAGTCGCTTCACTAGCCAACCTGAGAACTGCTGTGGTCAGGGGTTGTGAAGAGAACAATTAGAATCAGGACACAGAATTAGAGTATTGTTTTATGATGGTCACCCAGAGTTAAAACAAGAAGGTGCAAGAAATTCGTCTACAACACTAAAGACGCAGAATATTCAGCCAGGGGACTGAATCCCATAGCAATATCCTACCTGAGTCCAGATGAAGACCCAGAGTTCATGACAAGGCCTCCCATGAGTCCAACTGGAGGTCCAGAGCCCACAAGAAGGACTCACGCCAGTCTCTTTTATGGATCCGTGCTGGGAAGGCCCAAAGATCAGAGGTAGAAGCTAGAAAGTCTATGCCAGTGGGGTGAAGGAGTTGTGCTGGCAGATTGAGGGTTCTATACTGTAGCTGAGAAGTCATGCTTAAAACAAGGAGCAGGGCTGTCCTGTAAAGCACCACAGCCATCTTCAGTGACATGGAGGTCCCAAGCTCCTCCAACAATAAGAACAGTAGAGTACATGCCAGAAAGCCAGCGTTACAAGTTTGTCCTGGAGATTAATCGGCACACGTCTTCCCTGCTGGAGCCAAGAAACAATGCTCGATGTAAGAACCCGAGCTCCCCCAAAGTGAACCAGTCACTCTCACCAACAAGGTCCTGAGCTTCTCCAGTGACATGGTCAAACACACACTGGGAAAGCTAGTCATGAGAGCTCTTCCAGGAGAACCAATAGCTCAAACACCAACACTTAGAGAAACCCACAATGCTTTACTTATCTTCTCTATGTCTCTATTTATGCTGGCAACTTTCCTCAGGTGGAACATCTACCCCCCCGCACCATGCTGATTTAATCCAACTGGTATTAAGTTGAACACCAGTTCTTAATCCATAACAAGAATTAAGACTGACCCGCACAGGACACCACACCTAACAAAGCCAAGGTCCTGGGGCTCCCACTTCAGTCCATGTCTTTAAAAGTCAGGTTCCCAGAGTGAGCTTCAACACTAATTTCATTATCAATCCAGGACAATGATGTAGAGCTTCTGCCTTTGTCAGCTTCTGCCTCCTCACACAAATACCTTGTGAAATTTTGGAGGCATTGGAGGGAGGAAACCGTCATTTTAAAAGATCTTGGCAGAATTGCTCTGCAGAACAAAATTACCTTCTGTTAAGCAAAATACCTTGATGAGCCACTTAGGTATAACAAGAGAGCAGAAAAAAGAGGGATAAATACTTTTTTACGTTTATAAAAAATAAGTACAACATGGATACACACAGGGAGCTGAGATGAACAGACACTCAGACTGTATCTAGGGTAAGGGGCCTGGTACCCAGAGGAATACCTTCCTAAACAGACCATCTATAAAGAATTCCTGTGCAGCCATGGCTCCGGACCTAGCTAGGTCAGAAATCCTATGGTTCAGTTTTATGGTGGCTGTTCCCTGCAAGGTGATTTGACCTCAGCCCTCCAAGTGCTCAGTGGAAGCAGCTGTCCACGCAGTCACTAGTGCTGAAGGTAAGGAGGCTGCAGGTGGTGATGAGTTGCTGGGGGCAGAAGGAAGAGACAGCTCAGGGAGAAATGTGTTCAGTGGAAGCAGAACAACATAGCTCAGGGGCACGGGAACTCTCAAAATGCTCGGACATGGGTGGAGACAGTAGGGAAGAAATTTGGGGGAAAGGCTTGGACAGTTCATCAGAGATTAAAAGAAATCACACACCAGATGTGGTAGTGCACACCTGTAATCCCAGTTCTCTGGGAGGCAGAAGGGTCACAAATCCGAGCATAGCCTGGGCAGCTTAGAGACTTACTGAAACTCTGTCTCCAAATAAAAAATTTAAAAAGGTCTAGAGGTGCAGCTTAGTGTGAAGGCCCTAGGTTCAATCCTCAGTATTGAACAACACTACAAATGCGTAATGAAGGATCATCAAAGCCGGAAAATCGGTGAAGACTAAGACATTGGCACTGGTTAACATACATTTGTCCCACCATGTTCTCTAATCCGTACTGGCAATTCTTGAAAGTACCCCAGCAATCACTGAGAATAGAACTTTTGAACCCAGTCTGCAAAGTTCTGGCTTTCCACATGGGGCTCAGAGCCTTCCAGAAGGGACGTGCATTTGGATCTGCCTGGGTCCATTCAGGATGCCCTGCCACAGACCAGGTGGCATATAAACAACAACATTCTGGAGGTTGGAAAGCCCAAGACCAAGGCATCAGCAGATGCAGTGCAGGAAGGGACGCTTCCCGTCTCCAACACGGTACCCCATCCTCAATCCTCACACAGTGGAAGCAGCAAGGCAGCTCTAGAAGGCCTCCCTTAGAAGGACACCAACCCCAGCCACAAACAGAGTACTCACCCTCCCACACTATCACTTTGGGGATTAAGTTTCAACATATGAATTTTGCTGGGGCCTTCTGTTTCCCAGTCCTCTCCTTTCTTCTCACACTTAGGTACTAACAAAGGTGCCAACAGGAGACTGAGATACACGTAGGGAAGGTCAGTGTGTACAATCCTGCAGGCTCTTAGCATTTGATACAACTCACCAGGAGGCCAGAATCAGGAGCCCTTTCAGGGGTAGAGACCAGATGGTGCAGAAAGGGTTCTAGGCTATAGCACACATAGCCCTCTGCCGCTGTGAAGAACCTGCCATCCCAGGCCCGGGACCTAGAGGGAGATGTCTCCCAACGCTCCTTTACCCTTGACAGGGGATTCGCTTTCACTCCCAGAATCGCCTGAGCAGCCTTACCTTGTGTTTCTCTGATTTGTTCCTAAAAAAAAAAAAGCCAACTTCAATATTTCCACCAAATTCTGTTGCCAAATCCAAACATTTTTTTGAGAAAGTTTCAAAAAATATCCGGGGAAAGGAGTAGTTTGAAAACCAGAAGCCCTGAGTTGACAGGCTATTTCTGCCAGTTAGCCATGTAGCTAGAAGGAAACTGATTAACTCTGGGCACGTTGATGTCTTCAGCTATAAATAGCAGCTGTGATAATCCTACATCTTAGGGGTTGCAAAGGAGCAAATGCAGTGAGCCACTTAGAGCAGCTCCCCCAGGACATTCTAGTCCTTCGTACATATTGGTGGAATTTGTTTCTATACATCCTAATTCAACTTCACAGTGAAACACTACAGTACGTGCTTGGGATTCCACCATTGATGCTCAACTAAAGCAAGGATTCCAGCAGCATCCAGAGACTGTGAAGATGCATTTCTGGCCTATCACTGAATTTCGATGTGTCACTCTGATGCTGATATCTCCACATCCTTCCAGAATATACAATCTCATGAGAAGAGGCACAGAGTAATGAGGCTTCAGTTGACGGTCCATCCCAACAAACTCTTCTCCTTGAGTCCTCTTGTGACCCAGGGAAAGCATTACCATCACTGGAAACAGCTCATCCTGGGAAGCTGGAGCCACACAGTCCCCCTCAAGCAGGTGGGTCCAGGTGTCCAGAGGAAGTTCACCTCCCTTCCTGACACAGACACTGAGAACAGGATGCCTTCTGCTTCCCTTGCATGGTCACTGTAGCCTCTCACCAGGCCCTGGCCTACATTCTTCCTCTATGCCCAGCTTCAGACAGGTCTGAAGAACAGATGGAAGTTTTCAGCAATGCCAGGGCTGCACCAGGACCCTTGCGACCGTGCTCACTTGTCTATCTGTAGTGGTTCTGTAACTTTATACACAGTCCTCTGCTTGGCTGACAGCCCGCCTCTCAGATCACAAACTCACACTCCGAGGGTCTGAGCATAATGCTTTTCCTATATTTTTACCCAACTCTAAACATCTCCTGAATTTATAAGCCCAAGCTTGGGGGGGGGGGCAAAATGTGAAACATTTTATTTAACTATGGCAGTAATGCTGAGCAACAAACCCGGCACTCAGTGAGGACACCAGGACCACAGGTCAGCTGGGACTACTCCATTCCACAAGTATCTACTGGGGTTCCTGGATTAGGGGCAGAAGATTTATCAATGGAGGAAGTTAGAGGCTTCCCGAAATTCTGGTGAGAGCATGCAAAGAATCCTGGGTCATAACCCACATTGTCACTCCCTACCTATTCCATCACCCAGGGACAATGCCAAGTCCACAGAGCAGAGTGTCAAAATACACAGTACTTCTCCCATGACAGTAATGCAGAGGAAATATTCATTGACTAATAATCTGATCTGCAAAGTCAGTATATTCCTTATACTTTCAACATTTCCCTGAAAGTCAACATCGAGGTCTTCCTTACCCCCCACCCCAGAGTCAGAAGCAGGTGACATACTTCTGTAGGTAGGCCAATTGTCTGCCTACCATGCCTACTCTGCATAAGTGATATGAGAAATAATAAATATTCAAGCATTTGGTAAGAGATAAGGCTCTCTGTTCACCGTTTGTATACAGCTAATCCTGAGGAACACATGCATGTATAAATGATGTGTATCTTAAATGTAGGCATGTTCACAAACCAGAGACATGCCTGCAAACCCCCTGGATTATGAGTAACCTCTGGGGCCATCCAGGCAGAGTTTCCCATTGAATATCTGCTTTGGAATCGACAACTACAGCTATCACAGGGCTGTCACCGCACAGCATATTTGCTACCGTGGAAACGCTGCACTTTTTTACAGAAATGTCTACTATTCACTCTGTAAACTGAATTCTGACACTTCTCAAAGTTTCCACAAAATGACTTCCAGGCGCTTATCTCACTGTTGTCTGTAACAGGGGATCATACCCTTGTCACACAAATCTTATTTGCACCCTTGCTATGCCAGAATCAGTTTCATCATGCTTCTTTTTGCAACTCAGAAAAAAATCAAGAAACAGGGGAAATGGTCCCTCTGTAACACCTGAAAAGGGGGAGGAAGCAGAGGTAAAGGTCTGACTGGGGTGCTCTGAATCTCCCTCCGATTCCCCTACCAGTGACATCTTAACGAAAGTGAACTCACAATCTGACACAGAACATGCTTGTTATTGAACCTCTTGTGTTTTAGTGAAGGAGAACAGATTTTTTTTCCCTTAAATCAATTTAGCTGAACACCTGGGAAAAAATTAAGCACGAATCTAGAAGTCCCAGAAGAAGAAAGCACACAGAGTAGCGGAAAGACAGATATAAACTGGAACCAGAGCCTGCCATGTCCTCTGTCACCAGGTAAACTGCTCCCTGAGACACTGTTAAAGTTATTTACCACGGCATAACAGAGCACCTTCAAAAGCCAGTGGCTGAAGAGACAATGGCCGTCCCGAGTCACAGATTTGGAGGTGAAGAATTAGGGCATAGCAAAGACACCCTGCCTCTCCTCACAAGGCCTGTGAAGGCCTGAAAAGCCTACATGGCCCGAGTGCTGTCATGTGGAACTACATTTTGACTGACAGATGCTTCTGTATGGTGTGGTGAGGTCTGGCTTGCTTGGCTTGATTTAGTGCTCTTTTGATCAGGTAGTTCTTTTCCAAACAGTATCTAAAGGCACTGAAACATGTCCAAGACAACTCCTGGCCTAAGACAGCTGGAAAAGCTAGTGTTGGTCAGGTGTGTGTGCCTGTCTTCTGTCTCTTTCTCTTTCCTTTCCCTAGGTAGTCTTTCTGCATAGCTAGCTTGGCTTCCTCAAAACATAATCATGCCAGCATAATGAACTTCTTAAATGGCAGCTGAAGCAAAAGCAAAACCTGCCAGCCCTCTTAAATATTAAACCCAGCACATCCTGGCTTCCATCCCCCATGTGCTGATCAAGAGGGGTCATAAGGCCAATTCAGATTCAAGGGAAAGGTAAGATGTCCCACTCCTGAGGGAAAGATCGCAAACAACCTGCAGCTGTTTCTAATGTGCCACAAACTCCGTTTCATTTATAAAATAAAGACCAAAAGATCTTATTAAGAGTTAGGTTTAATGTATGTAAAATATCTGGCGCTAATTTGGCATTCTCAATATAGTCATTTGAGAAAGGGTTGTTGGTACAAAACATGTAACAGTTCTGAAGATCAGATCTTGACTCTACAGGAAGGAAATAAGAGAATACAAGTTTCCAGGGATGCAAACATTTATCCAAAATATAGCATGTGACAGAGGCCCTTATTCTACCTCCTACGTGTTCGCCTCACACTGTCTGCACACCTCAGAGAAATCTAACATCCATTCTAGGGGGTACAGGAGGCCACACTGTGGTACCCTATAGGACTATGGGACAATAGTCCTTCTGTAAACACTCTGCGTCGGTGAGGAATGTCCAGTGTGGGTACAGACACCTAGAAAGAAGTCTGATCCTAGCCCTTTCTCCAGATCTACAAGGACTAAGGAAGAATGGGTCTTCTCCACAGGCACTGCCTCCCCTGAGCAGCAGACAACTCAGAGAAAAGTTGAAATCCCAAATCTAACACTTGTCACATAAGACAAGCCCCTGCCTCTCAGCACCTCCATTTCTTTACCCGGGGTGGTGTTCAAAGTGCTGTTTGCAGGACCTAGTGCTATTGATGGACACAAGTACCTGTCCAGCTTTTGAAGTCATGCTTCCTTTAAACAGCCAGTTTCCACAGTGTGTTCATTCGGACAGTGCTGGGACCACGTTTTGGGTTGGAAATTAACTCACTGTACCTGAAGGTGGCCCTAGAAACTAAGCCTCCACCATGGAAGAAGCAGTGAAGGACCCCAGGATTCTTCAGGAAACTTAGAGCTTTCCAGAGGCTATAAAGCAGCTGTGCAAGACTACCCTTCCTGAGCTGTGCAATTGATTCTCTGCCTCTCTCCAAGGTAGCAGGATGACTTGACAGGAGGCCAATGGTCATTTCTCTCTTACCATTTCTTCTTCAGGCTACTGTGGTCTGGCCTCACCCCAACGCATCAACAGAACAGCTCTTTGGAGCCACTATGCAACACCCGTCCATAGCACAGTTGTGTCTCCTTCCTCGGCCCACTTGGCCATGAAAGCAGCCTTTGGCACTGCGACTTCTTTCTCCTTCTTGAAATATTTTACTCTTGGCTTTAAGTAACACAGAACACAACTTTTTTGCTAACATCTCTTCTTCCCATTCCATTCAATTTCATCTTTTTAAAAAAAAAATTTTTTAAGAGGATAAAACAATATTATTAAACCAATCGAAACAAACCGTGTAAGAAATACAGGACTTCAAAACATTATGAAATCAACAATAGTTACAATAATGTCTCTTGATGTCTTCAAAATAGTTGCAGATAACTTCGGACATAGTAAAAATCAAACAGAACAGAATAGAATAGAAACAATAAAAACAAGGCAATGAATGCAATAAAGGACTTCAAAACAAGCCAATAATAAGTTCAAAATGGCTACCATAATATATCTTGCTATCTTTGAAATAGCTGCTCTTGCCATTTGATTTAACATAAACAAGAGAATAAAACGCAACCCAAGAAAACAATGGAAACAACATAGGATTTCCAAAACAAGACCATAAGGAATCAACAATGGCTGCAACCCTCTGAAGAAGATCCCCCCTAGATGCCACACTGCTACTGCTATCCTCTGAGCCCATGATCATACCACGGGCCCTAGATCTACCGTGTTAGTGAAACACCAAAGCACCACAGGCACCCAATTGCATTTCACCTCCATGGCTGTCATCACAGCCTGTGTTTCTCTGGATAAGCTGGTTGCTTACAGTGTGGGGGTTAGGGGGCTTCTTGTTGGCCAGCCTGCGTGCTGGAAGGGGCTGGGGTCTGGCTGTTCCAGTCTGTGGTGGCCCATGCATGGCGCTGGTTCCCAGACTGGGCTTGCTTCTTGGTGTGGCCTTCTCTCTCTCAATTTCATCTTTCTTTCATCGGCAGTTAAATTTTGAAGTTTCTCAAAATGTGATACTAGGTCTTCTCTTCTTACTGTATGCTCTTTGATTCCTTACAGTCTTATGCATGACTGTCCCTCAGTGGCTCTCAAATGGCACAAAAATGAACATTTCTGGTCCAGCCCTTCCTGTCAATGATTCCTATGTCCCTGATGACTCTGTGGCACTGAAGACTGAAAATGTCCAGAGTTAAACCTGCAATCTCCTCCACCAGCAGGATCTTCCTCCAAGCATCATTTCTCCGTTGATGAAGCCACCGTCCATCAGGCCAGAAGACTGATACCTCCCGACAGATTTCATGCCCTTTTTCTATCCTGTCAGCGAATCCTATTTTCTGTTCTGTCAGTATCTATCTCTGCTCACCCTCTCATTGCACTTCTTGAAATGGACTAGTACCTATTAAACCTCCAGCAGTAGATTTTTTTCATTTTGTTTGGTTTTGTTTGATACCGGAAATTAGACCTCGCACTTGCCAGGCAAGCGCTGCACTGCTCCGTCAGTATTTTTTAAAATTACTGAAGCCTCATCAACTGTGAAATGGAGTAGAAATAGTCATCTAGATAAAACAAAAAATAAGAAAATGCATCACCATTAAAAAGGTTTCATGGTTGGTAGGAACCATCTACAAAAATATTTGATAATCGCTAATACAGTCTCTTCTGGAAACGTTTTACCAGGTTACAAGAGCAATTCTTTCATTATGCAAATCAACGGCTCTGCTGTTTCCCCCACACCAGCACCCAACACTGGCTGTCTCTAGCCCCAGATCCACCCTGACACATTTACCCATTTCTCTCTGCTCTAACTTCACAGGTCTTCTTATGGTTTCCTCTGATTTTCACGGTTTTTGTTATAGGATTGCTTAATTAACTCTGACTATGCATGTTGCTTAATTTGCAAAAAACAATTGCACTTCTATGCATTTTATATCAAAGTTTGGCTAAAGCCTGTTTGCCCCATTTGAAGATCAACAAGGCCAAGGACTCTGTTTTTACTCAGTTGTATCCCAAGTCTTGGTACACAGTAGGAATTCTGTTAATGTCAAATAATGTTAAATAAGTCTGACGTGAACATAAGGTCCGATGAAGTTTTAGTTTTGCTGTTTTAGTTTTATCATCCAGATTACTATGTGGATTAAATCTGTCTCAAGGAAGCACAGCATGTCATAGAGCTGCAGCAATTGTTTAATAAATGCACACGTTAGAATGTCTCAAAAGATTCAGTTTTCTGAGTGTTTAAAACACTGCAAGTGTTCTCTGGTCTCTACCTCTGGCTTCAACTGATTTCCTCAGTTTTTGTTGGTGACTGGATTTTTTCAGTGTTGCTGTGAATTGAGGTTCCAAATTCATCTACATCCTTATATTTAATTTGTTCATGAGCTCCCAAGCTTTTAAAAAATGTAAAACCAAAATCACACAGTTGAAGGCTGACTCAATCTTTATGTCATGTTTCTTCCTCAGGCTATAAGCTCCCAGAGAGCAGGGTACACGGACTCTGTTTTGCATATATTTTGTCATTTTCCCACGGGAGGACAAAAGGCAGCCTGGTATCTTAGAAGAGGCATAAGGTCTGGACTCAGCTGGCCCCATTGCACATTAGGGTCATCTATCTTTATGAGCATTTCTTAAAAATAAAATATCTGACTGCCATATCTCCTTCCACACCGAGTTCTGATGAATTCAGATCCTGCCTACGCACTGGGATTTCTGAATGCTTCTCTCAAGGATTCTAGCCAGGGTTGGGAACCATGGATCTAAACCACAAAGTTTCTTATTTGGAAAAGTGTGGTGAAAATAGTTTCAGTCATAAACTGTTTATGAGATACTTTACAAGATTGTAGAAGGCCAAAGTGTTGACATATTAGAGATGTTCAGAGGATAATAGTTACTGTGATTAAGTGGTGGCAGTGGAAAGAGAAAAGCATGATAACAAAAAATCAGGTAGTGAAGATTCAGGAAGACGCCTGCCAGCCTCCTTGGTGAAGCAGCACAGTTAAAACCCTGTGAGTGCCCCCACTTTCTGCACATCGGGGACATTTTCTGACTTGTGTAAAGCACATTGCATCTTTTATTTGGGTCTACCTGCAAGTGACCCAGACACTTGCCTTTCTTGTCTCGTGAACCAAAGATCAACATGTCTTGTGAGTGCAGTAACTACTTACGAAAACTTTTGCAAGGCCTTTGGCATTCACAGGGCTAACTTTAATACTTGTGGAGAAAATTTTGATATCAAGTTGCCTCTGAGCCTTTGAAACTATTTTGGGTCCGCTTCACGGCAGAAGTTGGAGGTTGGCAGAGAGCTGTAAAACAGAGCCAAAAATAAACCAAAGACCATTATAAAAATGCTTTAAGTGCCAAATGAATGAGATGTTAAAATTGCAACACAATAGAGTAAAAACTTGCAAAAGTGACTTCCCAAGGGCAGCGCTAAGTATTCAGACTCAGGGAAACAGTCCATGGGGAGAAGTCAGGAGAGGACACAGAGCCTCCAGAAAGCAGCCTTCCGGACACCTATCAATGCCTCAGCCGTGCCTGTTTATTACCCACCAGTGGTGGCAAGAGCACTCATTTCTCCTTTATTCAACAGCACAAGCTGGAGAACCAGGATACAAGGAGGAGATTCCATAAAAATTAATTGGGCCACTCAGTTTTACACCATATCCAGCAAATGCTTCTCAACTTGCCATGCACCAGACTAGAGACACATTCTCCCCTCTCTTCCCTCAACATCCAGCCATTCTGCAGTGCACTTGAGTGTACCAGTTCCTTATTTATGGTCTTATTTTCTGAGCTGCAGGGGAGGTAGTGATTTATGTTGGTGCAGCCCCGTGGTGGCAGCTTTCTGGAAGGGTAGCAGCTAGTGCTGGGCTTCTACCTCCTGGCTCTGTGCCCCCTGCCAGCCTCAGCTTCCTCTGCCCCCACCAGTTCCCACCCGTCCTTTCCCCAATTAGTAACTGCTACCAATTGCACACGGGCAGATTTATGCATGGCTGGGGACCAGCTCATCTCCCACGGATGGTCTAAAAGAAGAGTATGTTCTACGTCAAAAATCCTTTGCAAGCAGTCCAACTGTTTTCTTGGAAATAGCTTCTTTTGACCCAGGTCCATAATTTTTTTAGGTTTGGATTTTATGGGCCTAATGCAAAGTCTGTCAACATTTTCTTTGTGAAACTTATTCAAAGGACAGCATATTTCTGAAGCGTGCAAAGATCTAGGGATATCTATCATCCCGGGCCAAGAAAATGCACTGGGAAAGAAGAAGGCAGAAATAAACAGAAAAGGAGGCTCTATAGCCACTTAATAAAAGAATGAGTTATTTATTTACTTATTTGTTCTTTCATTTATTCACTAGTGCTGGAGTTTGAACCCATGGCCTTGCACATGCTAGATACCTGCCGCTGAGCTAACGTCAAACTGAAGCCTATCAAATATTTCATGTACATTCATGTTAAAACAGCAAATTCAATTATGTGCCCCTCATTGAGGTGAACCCCTTCAGTCCACAAGCTCAGCTGTCCCTATAGATTTGCTCCACTTGTGTATGTCCTACCTTTGGACAAGCTAGCAGTAGGACAGGCATGGGCAGGGATAGGCTTCAGTGAACAAAGATTCTTCCCATTTAATCACACAACTGAAAATACGTCGCCTGCCACTCACAAGATGGACACTTCTGCACAAACTCAGAGCAAGCAATTTGTCTAAAAATGACAAGTTGATGGACAAAGGAATCAAACTATGCAACACTCAAGAGCTGTTTAGATTTTCCTTCCTTGAAGCCCATTCATTATTTCATCAATAACACACTTATAAGCATTTATATCCCAAACAAATCACCCCAAGTCCCAAACTCCCGGGCGCTAAAGAAGCCTGTGAGGACCCTGCCAGGCACAGTGGCCACAGAACGGTGGTTCCGTCCATTCCCACTCCCTCCACATTTTCCTTCCTCCCGTCATCCCGGCCTCCCATGGTCAGGTCATCACGAGGTTTAATGAAAACGAAGCACTAGAGAAATGCCAAGTCCCATGTGACAGTGAGGTGCCAGGTGCCTCATCGTCAACTCTGGCAACCCATTCTCCCTGCTTTCCATGCACAGATACTCTCCACCCTAGCGAGGGTGTCGAAGCAGCTACCTGGGCCTCCTGGGCTCCCCTGAGATGCTCAAGCTTCCTCTCAGACTTTCCCTCAATCCTCAACATTCCATCAAACATGCCACTTCCAACCATTGGCTTGGAATTCCTGCAAATAGCAGAATGTTAGTAAGGTCAAAAATGTGGGGGTGTACCCATTAGTATGTGTGGAGGCTTATACGAATACTAGCATATCCCTTTCATTGAAATATTTAAAACACTCACAATTAAGTATTACAATATTCATAATTTTTGTGTCCTGTTTCCCCCTACCTTGACCTCCCTATCTAAACTGATCATCTAACCAAGACTTCATAATTAACTCTGGAATACTCTGCTCTCTAATTGGCAGTGTAATGATTAAAACATGAGCCCTAACACTGAGAAGTGTAAACGGTGTGCCAGCACCCAGTGTACACATTTTATACAAGCCAACTCAAGCTCTCAGACTTAATAAGAAAGGTGCTATAGAAATGAAAAACTGCCACGCAGAAGAATTTAAGCGACTCACCTGCAGTACGCACTCAGGGGAAGGGGCCAGGATTCGAGCTCATGCACCCCAGATTCCGACCCTACATTTTGACTACTGAACTTTACACCTTTAGAGCTGATGACAGTTTGCAAATTGGTGCAGAGGGCATGAAGAATATATTTGTGGACACTTCACACTACACCATACAGCAGATGCACAAAATATTTAATTCCTTTGCTATACTGATCTTAGCACACTTGTGAGAGGAAGCAGGTGCCACAGATCCACTGTCAAGCGAGGGCATAAACCTTACAAATCAAGCAAAGGTACCTGTACTGCTTACCTGGCCTGGTGGAACGCATGGTCCACACTAACCCTGAAACTTGTAGTAATGGAGTAAGAACACTGTGCTGCATTGGTAGCATTAGAAACACAAATAATCCAATAAAAACCACAGTAACAAGGGTCATGATGGCATCGCGATGGTGAACTATTGTTGGAAAGCATTGAGACTGAATACACGTGCAGGGCCATGGCGCGAAGGGAGGTCCCCATTGTTCCTGGACCGGGAATGCACCTGCCATGTAGTTTTCTGATAATTGAGCTTGTTTATTTTTATTTTTATTTTTATTTTTATTTTTATTTTTATTTGAGGGTTTTGGCTACATTGGCTGGCCCAGTGATACCCCTTTTTGCAAATGGGACATGGGGTATCTGGTCTGCTATTTTTAGGTTTTGCCTTACAATCTTTATGTACATGACCAGGATTTTTGGAATAAACACAAGTAACAGGACAGCAGCCAATAATTGCATTTTATGCATTTGAGTCCCTATGTTTTGGCAGGCTGAAATCATTTGAGCCAAGGCAGTGGCAGGTCTTTTAAAGCACTTTTGCAGTCTTGGTTTTGCATTCTCATATGCTAATTGCTTTAACAAGATAGAGGCTGCTGCTATATGGTCCACCTAGCATTCAGTAGCTTTATTTAATCTCTCTATAAAGGTAAGGATTCAGTGGCCTCCTGTTTAATAGCACTAAAGGAACCTTGTGCGTCTGCTGCTTCAGGGATTTTCTTCCAAGCTCTTAAAGCAATTTGAGCCACTTGAGGATAAGCTTGGGGGAGGCAGTGAACTTGTTAGTGAATATCCAAAAAAGCTCCCTCACCCTGTAGTGCGGTAGCTCCTACAGGAATATTGTGATCTAAATTATCTATAGCTTGTGTGTCTTCAGCACCATGATATTCTTGCAGCCACACCTGGTATTGGGTTGGAGTGACAACAGTACACACTAAGGCTTTCCAATCAAAAGGGGTCATCCAAGTGGGGCTCTTGTCCTTGTTGACACAAAACAGGACAAACAATTAATTCCCCGTGTTGTTTAGCTTCTTGGGCTAGTTTTGCACAGGAGTTAGAATTGGTGGAAAGTTGCCCAAAGGTTTTACAGGGTCTATGTCTTGCGGCAGCAGTGGCAAGAGGGCAGAAGCATATGGGGGAGGTGCAGAACCAACACAAGCGGCACTCCTAGGAAAACCAGGAAAACGACCATGCAGTGTTCCATCTGCCTACCTGCCAAATGTTGTCACAGCATCCCAGCAAAGATACCAGGTGTGCAAGACAGAGATAGGAGCTTGATGCAGCAGTTTGCTTATCTTGTCCCAATCCTCCATAATGAGCGGACCCCCTCAGGATGCCAAAGACATCAATCATGAGCTTCCAACAACAGTTGCACCACACTATCCTCAGAGGACACATGGCCCGCCTTCCTAAGAAGGTAAAGCAGTTCTGCTTTGTGGTTCTGCTGCGCTTCAGAGAATTCACCATAACTTACCTAATGAAGGGATTTCCCAAAGAAAATGAGGTAAGGTGAAATAGACATGCGTCAGGGCTGTGTTCCACCCCAGGAACACAGCGAAAGTAAGTCAACCTCCACAGCAGATGTCTCCACTGTTGAGGCTATTGGGGCAACAGGCTTTTGGGGCCTGTACCTAGACCCCCCCAACCCACGCACCCACCCACTCCCCCACCCCCCCGCAAACAAGTGCATGGTGAAGGCTCAAAGGAATGAGACACATGGCATGGTCTTTAGGGCTGCAGGAGGAGAGAAATCCTCAGGAGAGCTGGTAACTCTGCTAGCTGGCCGGCTGACTGATGCTAGCTAGCAAGCCTGTATTTAATCAGAACAAGCAAGGAGTTGAGTGCAGAATGGGGAAACCTGAGCAGGATCTTGGGAGGGGCTCAAGGACCCCTCAAAGTAACAGGAGATGCCAATTATGGAAAACTACCCAGAAAGTCTCCAGGTGGCCTCAGCTGTGGCCTGTCTTGCCCCCTGAGGCATCTCCTCATTCTCAGTTCAGCCATGCCCAGGCCACACCACAGCTCTGCACGTGTATTCAGCTTCAATGGCTCCAACAAACTATTATTTACCAAGTACCACACTAAATCTTTTCACATTAATTATTTTAATTAAGCCTCATCATCAAAGCCCTTAAATTAGGTATTGTTCCCCTTGTTTTAGAGATGGAAAAGCTAGTATTTATAGAAAGATTAATTCTGTAAATATTCTAGCAAGAGAATGAAACTTGAACACAAATCTTGTCTCAGGTGGATGACCATCTACCTCCAGTCCAACTTTCTGACTGGTTTTCCCATCAGTAAAATGACAGGAGTTGATTTCAGGAAGACTTTTGACTCTACAGTCAAGGGGTTGAATACCATTGCAGGAATATAAAACTGGGTCTTATTTTAAAAGTAATGGAGATGGAATGATGTATTTCCACAAAGAAAAAAATGAAAAATAATCCAGCTTTGGGGAGCAAATAGAAGTATTTCCGCCCACAAAACCTTGTCAAGGTGATCAGGAACTAAGAAGTCAAGGTGATCAAAGGCTGTGATAGCCAGAATCTAAATCAGAGAAAAGATTCCCAGGGGCTTCAGGGGAAGCCTCATGGTGCTGAATGTAAAAGCTTACCACATATTTGGGTCTGTAGTACTATTACAGTATAGGCCATGTATCACTGGTGGGAAGAGACACCTTTTCACAGAGCATAAGACACAATGAGAAACTGATTTCTTGTCTCAGTACAAGTAGAAAGTCTCCATTTAGTGTTTGCAGGCATTTAATGCCTTTATAATAATTTCCTTTTTGATGAATAGAGAGCAGCTTCAAACTCTAGCAAAAATTTAATATTGTTGATGCATCTTGGTTTTCTAGCATTTCTTCTCATTGATGGAAATTGACGCTTACTTTCCAGTTGACAGTGATGCATTGGTTCTCAAGCTTGAATGTGCACAGAAAATCACAAGGAGAGTTATTAAATCTGAGATACCTCTGCAGAACCTGAGTCACTAGCACAGATGGGGGAAGCCCTTAAGTTTGCTCTCCTAAGTAACAGTTCCTACACCAGGCTGATGCTCTTGTCCAAAGGAGAACCACCAGGGCAGTTCCGCAAAATGCTTTCTTTAAATAAACCTATTTTACTGAAACAAATGAGCAGACTGGAGGAACGTATTATGTGTACAGTAGTGTGTAGCGATGGCAAAATTCATGACTCTTGCACAGTCAACTGAATTTAGAACATGCCAGCCTAGACTGGTATCAGTCTGACTGGTATTCACTGGATGTGGAAACCAAGATCCCATGTCTGCTTTTTCACTTGTAAGACAATGGGAGCCCAGTGAGTGTCCTGACACATCCCTCACAGCTCCACCTGCAAAAGCTGCAAGTGAGTATGAATCCTCAAACCAGAAGTCTCCCAGGAATCACAGTGTGATACACTTTTAAGAAATTAAAATTTTTTGAAAGTCTTTTAAATTTAACTTGAACATAAGTGTAATTAAGCCATTTGACTTCCCCAAATGAGATTATTCTGAAAGAAAAAAAGTGAAATTTCTCGACACTCTCATTAATGCAAGTAGCCTAGAGTAGAATTAGTGAAAGGTCATATGTAGGTTAAAAATTGTTTCACCTGCTTGATGAAGTATACCTATTCTTGCATGCTTGCCTCTTTGAAGTAGTTTGAATGACTCCGAATTTGCTTCTCAGTCCCATTTGAAATTGATGTGACAAATTTCAAATATGAATGGCAAAGAAACCTAGTGTTAAAGAACAGAATGTGTTTTTCTCCTTGACTCCTTTTGAATGAACCTAAAAACAAGACCTTTGAGAAGCAGAAGGACAAATTTCAACTTGAATGAAATCTAGCTACAATTATGATTGGGAGCCACTTCAATGAGATAAAATTCTCAAATTTAGTGACTAGTAGCCAGAGCACAGAACCATAGAAAAGGCAAAAATATATCTGAGGTCATAGAGCCCAAAAGAGGGTTTGTCCTCATAGGTAGAAGCAAAAGTTGTGTCTCTGCAGCAACAAACTAGGACTGCGTGGTCTTGGGGAGGGTCTGCCTGACCCCCGGTTCATTCTTAGCAGCAAGGGACAGCGAGAGGGGCCAGACAGAGGAAGAAACACACAGATTTGCTGTCACCCCTTGACATGGCATGCTGCCAGTGCAAGGAAGAGGGATTCTGCAGCTTGAGGAGATGCTGAACTCTGTCAGCCTCAAAGACACAAACATTAATTAGCCGACGCTCAAAACTCTACATCATAAAGAGTTTCACTGTGCAGGATCACAACCTTTTGCTGCCCCAGACACTGGCGACATAAAATGTCACTGAATGCTTGCTTTATTATTCAAAGATGAATGATCATATAAAAAAATTAGCAAAGGATCTCATCAAATCAAAAATGTTACATCAGGGCCGAGGATGTAGCTCAGCAGAGTAAGCGCCCGCCTGATAAGTGCAAGGTCGTGACCCAAAAAGAGAAAAAAAAAAATTATATCAAAACACAAATGAAAAGAAAAAGGGGGAAAACAGTAGCAAAAATATACACAATATCTGAGCCAATCAACTGTGGCTCTGGCAGAGACACCTTAATAAAGCAACTTAAAGGAAGTTTTATTTCACTTGAGGGTTCAGACTACAGTCACCTGGCTGTGTCTTTTCTCAGGCTGTAGAGAGGCAGAACATCGTGGGAGGAACAGGTGCATGTGAGAGAGGAGAGCTGCTCTCCAAATGGTGATCAGGGAGCAGAAGATGAAGGAGGAAGGAATCAAGGGCAAAATATACTCTTCGAGGGCACAGTATTATGATCTGCTTCTTCCAAATAGATCTCACCTGCTAAAGTTTCCACCAATGCCCATTAAGCTACAAATTCAATAATAGATGAATGATCCTGCATGACCCAATCCTCTTCCACAAGCACACCTTTAAACACTGCTATCTTGGGAACAAAGTCCTCAGCATGTTAGCATCGGGGAGATGTTTCCAACTTACATCATAACATCACATAAATGTATTTTAATGATTCAGATGAAAATATCAAACACATATCCAGGACATCAGGGAATAAAGAAAAATGTCACTTTAAAATAAGAACACAAAGAAAAATAAATACTTAAGAAGAAAAATGATGATATATTGCAAGGTTAGATATGAAGTGTTCAAAGCTCAGGAAAGAAATGGAAAAGAATCTAAGAAATTTAGATCAATCTGAAAAAAATTAAAAGGAAAAAGACACTGCAAGAAAACACAGGATTCAGGAGTAAAATAAATACAGTATTAGTTGGGGCTTTTGTCATTGGAACCAAATACCCAACTTATACAACATAAAGAAGGGGGTTAATATTGTTCATAGTTTCAAAGGATTCAGCTCATGGTTGGCTGGCTTCTAAGCAGGAGCGGAGGGACACAGTGGCCCAAAGCTGCTTAGGTCATGGTGGCCAGGAAGCAGAGCAGAAAAAGAATCCCAGAAAAGAAAGGGCAAAGTACCAAATATGCCTCCATGGTCAAGCTTCTCTACCCACTAAGACATACAAAGAAGTGTGTGTTAATGATCCATTAGGTGGCTCACAAGCCAACACAGCTGACAATTAAACTGTCACCAAGTATGAATAAAGAGTTTTCTATAGTTATTGAGCAAATAGAAGATGACTAATCACAGACTAAGAAACTCATCATTGGTCAGTTTCAGCCCTGTGTGGGCATTGTGGAGTAATCTCACACAAACCTGCATGGGTGAGGTCAGTCTTTTAATGCTGTCTCTGATGTTAACAACAGATGCAGTAAACCTAGGATGTTTGATGCTATTGTTAGTACAGAAAACTGTTTAATAGCAAACTTTTAATTTTAAAAAGTTCTAAAATGTATAGTACAGTCAATACACAAACCAGTAAAATTGCCTATTACACTTATCCAGAATCTGGTATTGTAGATGACTGTGTGTGACATTTTCAATAACTGACAGCAGACTGGTTTTTTACACCAGTATCACTACAAATACACAAGCAATGCATTGTATAGCAACTTTATAATAGCAATGACATCTCTAAGAGATAAGAATTTTTTAGCTCCATTACAATCCTATAAGGTCATTATTGTATGTTTCATCCATTATTGACCATATTGACATTATGCAGAACATGACTGTGGTCATAAAAAAGAAATTAGATCCTAAATTAATTCTAAACTAATTTTGTTCCTGGGAAAAGAATTGATTCAAGAGAAGGAAAATCGAAGATATAATTCAAGACAGTTATCCTAAATAAAAGCAGATTCAAAACTACAGATTGAAGGTTACATTACACCAAAAATTTAAATCAAAAAGATAAACACCAAGACATACTTAAGGAAAATAATTAAATTTAAAGTTATGAAATAATTATTTGAGTAGCTCTCTAATATCAACCATGAAATTGCTAGCACCCTATCAATTTAACCTACACATAATAATGATTTATTCTGGTTCCATTTAATTACACAAACTTGAAAATAAAAACTGAAAAAACATGAGAATGTAGTGCAACTACATTGACTAAAATTAAAGGTTTTATTTTATTCTAAATAGAATGAAAGTCTGAGTATTTTTAGCCAGGTATCGTGGCACACATCTTTAATTCCAGAACTCTAGGAGGCTTGA